AGAGAGAGAGAGAGAGAGAGAGAAACTCTTACGATAGATGTATATAAAAGTTGTTGAAAAGTTTTTAACTTTGAGATGAGAATCAGTATTCAATTGTATTCATACGTGAATTGTTTTGCTTGTCTTTCACATCACAATCACTTATCGTATCCAACATTCAATACACGCATCAAAATATATTATATGCGATAAATATATTATGACAATTGATTGTGTATTTTAATCGCTATCGTAATTATTATATTGATAATTATATTGTATATCGCGCATATATTATAAAGTTAATTTAAATTAGTTAATTTATAGTCATACATGATATGTGTTAACTAGTGTGTACGTGAAAATTGGCAAGTGCGTGGGGGCAATTGTGATTAACCAAGGGTGCTATTATTAAGTGCGTGAACGGTTGAGTGGTGTGCACCTTGGTGGTGATTTATGTGTGCCATGGATTTACACTGTATACTATCGATCGTTGAGGGAGGTCTGCACGCGTACGGCGGCGGTGTCGGCCACGTGGGCCGCGCCTCCAGACTGGGACTGACCACCGATTTGCAAGACTCCGGCCACCAGTCCATACACATGACATTACAAGAGTCGGACCTCTGGAAGGAGTTTCACCGCAAGACCAATGAGATGATTGTGACCAAAAGCGGACGGTATGTAATTGTAATGATGATGGTGTTCAAGGTGTTTGTAAATAGTTTTGTAACTTTTTATTTTTGAGGCATTATAGTTTTTTAATTAAATATTTATTCATATCGGCTTTAGTTTAAAAATAATTTAATTGTTTTTGTTTATTATATGTGTAAATATTATAAGTATTTATTGATTGAATTGAAAATAATATACAAATATAATGTTTGGGAATAAAAAACAAAAATTAAAACTTTTTATTTAATAGTTTGTATGCTTTTTATACAGCAAATAAAATTTCTTTAACACTTTTATTGATAACATTTTAGTCACGAAAACAAAAGCAAAAAACAAAACCACTTAACAAACTATAAAACAAAACACTTTTACCTTTAATATACTATAAATACACTATATTTTAGTAGCTGTGCATAAACGGGGTAAAAACAACTGGGTACTGGTCAGGGAGGGGCAGGGGTTGCGCAACAAACAAATTCACTAATATTAACATGATATTTTTTGTATATCACACTCAATGACCACTCTAGCCGTATGTTTCCGGTAATCAAGCTGAACATCGACGGCCTGGAGCCCCGGGCCATGTACTCCATAGCCATAGAGTTTGTACAGATCGGTGGCCACCGATGGAAGTATATGAACGGCGATTGGGTGGCCGGCGGTAAGTCAGAGCCGGCGCCCCAACAGTCGCAGTCGCTGTACATACACCCGGAGTCGCCCAACTTTGGCGCCCATTGGATGCGAGAGTCCGTGTCGTTCAGTAAAGTGAAGCTCACGAATAAGCCGTCCGCACAGTCCGGTCAGGTACGCAAAACTCAGGTGTGTGTCCGCCCACTGACTACCCCC